AGCAAGGGAGCACTGTAACTCATTTCCAAGTATGAAAATATTAGAAGATATTCCCAAAATGTCATAAAAATAATTTAGAATATTTATGGTAACAAAACTCCATGATAAGCAAGAGAAAAGAGACCTTGGATTCCAAGCAATAAAAAAGTCCTTCCATGATATGAAAGAAGAATTGAACACCATAAAAAAGAGTCAAACAGTACTGTTATATATGAAGCCTGTAATACAGGAAATTCAAAACCTCCCTTGAAAGAATTAAAAGCAGGTTAACCCATGCAGAAGATTGAATCTTGGATGTAGAAGACAAAACTTCTGACCTAGAAAAAATATAAAAAATACTGAGAAAATATGAAAAATGATGATAATAGATAAGAAATACTAGGTACCCTGAAATTATCTCTGCAAATGACATGATTGTATGGATAGAAGACCCAGTGATATCCATGAAAAAACTTCTCAAAGTGATAAATGCATACAGTAAAGTTGCAGGAAACAAAATTAACTTACAAAAATCTATAACATTTCTGTATACATACAACAAGCAGACAGAGGCAGAATTGAAGAAAGTAATCCAATCTACTATAGCCACAAAAAGTTTAAGATGGCTAGGAATAAAAATAACCAAGGAAGTCAAAGACCTGTATAAGGAAAACTATGAAGATCTTAAAAAAGAAATAGAAAATTTTATAAAAAAATGGAAGGGCATCCCATGTTCCTGGATTGAGAGCATTAATATAATCAAAAAGGCAATACTACCTAAATTAATCTACATATTTTATGCAATCCCTATAAAGTTACATGAGAGATTCTTCACCAATCTAGAAAAAACAAAAAGAGTAGAGTGGGTGGCATCCCTTGATTTGTGTGTCTATTTCTGTGCCATCACAGAGCAGTTTTTGTTTTTATGGTTTTGTAATATATTTTGAAGTCAAATGATGTAATGCTTCTAACTTTATTCTTTTTGTGCATAATTTCTTGGGCTATTCAGGGTAGTTTGTGATTCTGAATTTATTTTATGATTACTTTTTTATTTCTGTGAAAAATATTGCTGATTGTTTAAATATATATATATTCATTTATTTCTTCCACCAGAGATGAAAATGGAGAGAGAAAAAAATCTTTATGTCGTGACCCACCCAAGCCTCAGCCAGTCAAGATCACATTTGTACACTTGCACCCCACATGCTTAGGAAGGTCCCAAGACACTAACCCAGGACCTTTCATATGTGGGTCCAGTTGCATTACTACTATATTACACCAGGCTCCTTTTTTTTTTTTCTTAATGTTTCTTGATAGACATTTGTTAATTTTTATTATTTTTAAGAATTTGATTTTCTTGTTGCTTTCCATCTTTCTTCACTTTCCTTTATTTCCTTACTCAATATACCTTGAGTTATGTTGCTTTATTTCTTAGCTTCTTAACATGAAAACTTAGATAACTGATTTTTTGAAAAAAGTTATTTTATCTATCATTATTATTTTTTAAAATTTGACCAGAGAGACAGAGAGTGAGAAAGAAGTTGTCAGCTCTGGGACCTGAACTGCAGTCAGCCATGTGGGAGTTTAGTGTCTTAACCATCACGCCACCTGCCAGCCCCAGATTGTGGATTTAAACAATTTTTTTCCATTTCTACTATGGGTTTTTATTTAATTTTTTATAAAGCAAAAATTACAGAATTTTTTTTCTAACAGAGAACTTTATATTCTTTTGTCAATTTCTTCCCACGTCTCCTGCTCCTTTGCAATAGATTTTGAAAGATGTAAATATCTTTTGAGCACATCTTTAGCTACATCTCATAAAATGTAATAAATAAATTTTATCGCTGTTCTATTTGGAATAACATACATTTTTAGTTCTCAGAGTGGCACTGCTGAATAACAACTTTCAGTAAGAAAAAATAAAACCTTTAGCAATGAAACTAATACATGTCTGAATACTTATAAATTCTCCATGAGGGGCCAGCAGGTGGCATGGGGGTTAAGGCACTGGACTCCAACATGGTCTACTGTGGTTTGAGTCCTGGATCTGGCAGCTTGAGAACCATGCCAGATGTGTATGCATACATACCCAAAACCCTGATGGGAGAATGGAGGAGAAGGGATATGGCATGGTCATTTCTCTTGGGGAGTGATTTCTCATTTTCCCTCTCTCCATCTCTATTTCTCTCCAGTGAGCACATGTGCCCTATGGTAAAAATCTAAAAACAAAACAAAAATCCATGACACTACAGTTGAAATGTTTATGGAAATGACAAGAAGGTAGGGATAAAGAAAGGAAATGCTGACTCAAGACTGTGGGAGGCTGCACACTAGCAAGTCTGCTGAGGCTATTTTTCATGAGTCTCTTACTATTGCCATCTTAGGCTCAGAGAGCAAACAATTACAAAGGTCACAATTGGCTTCTCTTCAAAAACCTTACCTTCAAAACCATACTCTGATTGGCCACTTCCCATAGCAAATCAGTGAGCTCAGAATCCCTCAGATTTGCATATCCAGGCACCTTATGATTGGTCCACAAAGCAACCAATCATAACCCACCTTTTACTATCCTTCATTCAACCATTCACAGCCCACAAATATGTATATAACCATGATCCATGGCCCATAATCGCCAGATGACCCTGAAGACCCTGAAGAGTTGTGACACCACCCCATCTCCGGACGACCCTGAGTTGTGACGCTGCGTCGTCTCCAGATGATCCTGAGCTGTGACGCTGCATTATCTCCAGATGACCCTGAACACTGTGTTGTCTCCATGCTGCCTACAATAAAGAGATGACCCTGAAGAGACACTGCATCATCTCCGTGTTGTGATAGTGCGCCGTTCGTCCCGTCTCTCACTCCTTCCCTCAGGAAACCTGTTTGACTGACTTGCGGGTCAGGACACTTGGTGCCCGGACACAGACCTGAGTACGAAGGATCCAGTGAAGAGCTCCCAAGGAAGGCTCCAGTGCAGAGCAACCCAGAAAAGCTGGTGAAAACACAGAGGGACAAAGAGAAGACATCCTGGTAAGTATTTACTTACATTTTATTTTAAGTACGGGTAATAATGGGACAAAAGCTTGGTCACTACGAAATATCCATTCAGAGCTTAATAGAAGCCCTTGCCATTATGCTCATTAAGGGAGAACAGATCATGCAAAATGATCAACCCCAGGAGAAGTCTATAGCCACCTCAGATCTAACCGAGGATTCTGAAATTGAAAAAGAATAGGGAGAGGATCTTACTTCCCTAGATAGTGAGGAAGAAGTTAAAAGCCCTGAAAGCAAGAAAAAAAAACAAAAATCTAAAAAACTAAAAAAGAAAAAAAACCTTAAGGCTCTACAAGAGCCAAAGAAAAATGAGTCATTATCTAGTTCAGAGGATGAAATCTTAGAGGCCAAGGCTGACAAATGCAATAATCTAAATTGGCCGTCTGAAGAAATTTTAGAAACTGAGTCAGCTAAGTACAGTAATTCAAAATGGCCACCTGAGAAAGAAACTTCAGAAATGGAGGCAGGCAAGTACCATGATTCAAAATGGCCTCCTTTCAAAAAATGACTGCCACCCTACAACTTGGTCGCATCTGCACCACATTTCATGCAGAATACTGACACTAGGGAAGAGATTTTGAATAAAATAAAACGATTAAAAGAACAGATTCAATTAGAAAAAGAACACCAGGAACTAATATCACAATTAGAGAAACTAAAAACCAATACAGACAAAGAAACAAAACTAGTTCAGGGATCACATACGACAGACTTTGAGACATTCCCTGTTACAGAAAATACGGATCCCCAAGGACAGGTTTGGCGCCGTCACAGCGGGTTTGACTTTAAAATGGTAAAAGAAATTAAGGCAGCGGTTGCCCAATATGGAGCTACTGCTATAGTTGAAGCTATCGCCGAGGACTGGCTCACACCATCTGATTGGCAAACATTAGCCCGAGCTACACTTTCAGGAGGAGATTACTTACGTTGGAAATCAGAATATGTAGAGGCTTGTAGGGGAACAGCCCGCCGGCACGCCCAAGC